GTTTGTTTTTTTTATCAAACGTTGTGTTTATGAAGTCGAGGGAATGATTCCTTAATAACAGCCACTTACAATGTATGCACAAAAGTACGCATTGTTAAAATTTCGCGAGCAATCAAATGGAACAGTGTATGACCTGATGGATATTTCTGTACGTAAGTCAATCTGTAGATATTATATACAGATAAATATAAAATTTAGTTTTGTTATTGTTGACGTCTGTTGAAAACGTTATGGACATGATAGTACACTTAACTATAGTAATGTATGGATCATGTCACAAGTTAAAACCTCGCAAAGGTGATAAACAGTTCGTGTGCTACCAAACATTTGAGCATCAACCTTGTCTGTGAACGTTCAGAGCGTCTTTAGCACCAAAGCGAACACACGATTGAGAGACCAGCCGCTTTTATACAAGCTTTATCCAATTGGGAACTGTCGGCACTTTCCGTAAACGAGAAAATAAAAGTGCGGACGGTTCCCGATTGAAGCTTTATCTAGTCAGTCAGTATCCGATGTGCCATGGCATGGTTTCCTTGGTAAAACCTACTTACAAACAACTTTGACGGCCTCAAATGTCGCGTTCAGCCCTACGGCGTTGTAGCTTCTATCAGCGTAAAAGGCGACCATCATGTTGTTGGACTTCGACCACTCATCCCTGGGTAGTCTGCGGCCACAGATTGTAGCCAGTAGATCATCATCCGCGCTCGGACCATCGAAAATTCGGACACTGTCGTATTTACAGAGGAAGGAACCTTCCACCCCAAAGTCATTGAAATGGACCTTGATGACGTAACCTTCGGGGCCATGTATCCTCCAAACACACGTGGTGTTGTCGGCATAATTGTTCCCGGGGCCGAAGTTAGGGGTTTGTATGATTCCTGGACCAGTGTAGTTTATCCACTGGTCACAGCCATGAGGACCGGAGTCGTGTTTCACCTCTGTAGGTAGGCCAGCGGCTATCCAAAAGACGAAGATAAATATACCGGAAAATCTCTTTTTATACTAGTGAGAAGTTCATTATAAAATCCTTCCATTTATTAATAATCATCTTTATGATAACACCAATATTCTGTCTTACAAATAACGGCAGTATTAGGAAATTGAATACCGATTGTGAAGTGTGAACAGAGGTAAGAGCTGACATTGACTTTTGGGGAAATACTGTCTGTCTGACCGTTTGTTCTATCTCTTTGTCAATACGCTTTGCAAACGCTCTTTGATTGTTCGTAACACCTGCAATAACACCTTCTTAGCCTTATCATTCCACGTATAGTTCAGTAATATGTACTTTTATTTTATGAGATAGTATTTGGTTTAATATGTAAAAAGACAACAATATGATGATGAGAAAATCGTACGTAACAGTATAGAGAAACAAACTGTCATTATTATTATTAGGAAGAATGGCTCGTTTAAAATAGATTTAAATATGATGAACAACACACCATAATCAGTTAAATGCCTGGTAACTTACGAAAAAAGTCGACATTACAAACTAATTTCTTGTGTATACTCACCGTCAACTGCCTCCCAATGTATCATAAATCCCTTAAAACTCGTCTCATCGTCTGAGGAGAATTTGACCAGGGCATGGTCATTCGGAATGATGACCGGGTCAGGAACCGTCGACCCACAGTACTCATCTGCGAATTCATGGAACAACATTCAATCTTAATTTATTTGACATTACAGTTGACAGTAAATATATAGTAAGGTAAGATACTATTGACATGTAATTGCAGATAACAATCCCATTTAATAAAAACACAGACATACTTTTAACTTGAATAATTACTTACTTTAAAGGTAGATATTAATACAAATAAATAAGACCTCGGTAAATTGACTGTACATACCTTTAAAATAATGTGATCAAAGTAATAGGCCATTATTTCATTCCAGACATTTTCGATAACATGTTTATACTAATTGAATATATCATTGTTTTATGTCTTCAAATTCTTGTCAATCACAATTTACCGTAAAAAGCAATGAACATACGACTGTAAATAATATGTACAGATGTTACGTCAACTTTACTAATAAACAGAGAAAAAAAGAAAAAAATAATTGAATATGGGGGGGGGGGGGGGGGGGAGGTCCAGAGCCCTAGCTGTCTGGTGCTGCTGCTAGAACACTAACGTAGGGTTAATTTATGCAATTACACATGGTTATTCATTACAAAATGCAACGACAAGACCTAGAATCAAGCCGGGACCTCTGAACCATCTCTAACCATCTGAACTACGTGGTCGCCGTTCCGCTACAAATGTTTCAATACCTAGCCCTGAACTCGGTCTGTATATAGATATGTATGTAATTTGTGACAATGACAGCTGTTTTACAAACTCACTTATAAGGGATTGGCCTTTACCATTGTAGATAGTAAGTCGGTCTGTTTAAAGATATGTATGTAATTTGTGGCAATGACCGCTGTTTTACAAACACACCTTTACCATTGTAGATAGTAAGTCGATCTGTATATAGATATGTATGTAATTTGGAACAATGACCGCTGTTTTACAAACTCACCTATTAGGGAATGGCCTTTACCATTGTAGATAGTAAGTCGGTCTGTATATAGATATGTATGTAATTTGTAACAATGACCGCTGTTTTACAAACTCACCTATGAGGGAGTGGTCTTTACCATTGTAGATAGTAAGTCGGTCAGTGTCACAAACGGCACGACCTTCCTCGAGCTCAAAGTCGGGGTCAAATGTCAACTTGATAAACTAGAAAAAAGAGCTTAGTATTCATAAAATGTATACGCTTTCACCTATAATTCTTTCTTTCAAGATCCAATGTGTTTGTTTCAATCAATAATGTGTTATATAATGTTGCATTGCATATATCATGTCCTCACAACTTGTTACTTCTGTGGCTGTCACCGTTGTGCCTTTTTTTCGCGTGGCCCTGTAAGAGATACATGTATAACATATTTTATTTCATTTATCACCAGGAATTGCTGATAGCTCGTCTCCGGTCACGTGATATAACTACCTGCCCATCCGGAACATTGATGTCCCAGTGACACTCCGTATCATTTTCATACTCCAAATTGGGATCCAAGTAGTCCATGCTGCTGAAAGAACCGGATGTACCATTTTGCCATGCGCTGCTTCTACATCCGGATAACCCTGAACGATATGTATTAAATCATGTGACTAGTGCCCTACATTTGGAATGTTTAATTAGTTTATTACAGTATATGTGAACGCTTTAAGAACGATAAAGCTCCTTGTCGTTATAGCTCTTTTTCAAATTAATCACTCATGATGAATTTCTCCAGAAATGGAAGAGAGATGTGTACAATTATTCAAAATAAGATTTGTTTTAAATAGTTACCTTATCTATCTCGTTGATCGAACTCATACATTTGGTTGGGTAGACTACCAAATAAGTCGAAAATAATTTCTCATTTAAAGAGTCGACAGGCTACTATGTTACCATGGTTGTATGAATTCATGTCGGTGAGTCGAGATTTGTACATTACCTGTTTGTTTACCACAGTTGTCCTCATCCGACAGATCACCACAGTCGTTACTTCCGTCACAGACCCAATTTTTCGGGATACACGTGTTATCAGGACACTCGAACTCTGTGCCTTTGCACACACCTGTAACGTCATAAACACGTGACGTCATAGTCAATGTTCACATAAATTCACCACAACGTCGTAAGTTATATGGGAAACAAACTATGCAAAATTGTCGGAACCGTTATCGATTGAAACTCAAAATCATAGCAACGCATTTTATATATCAGTATATGTCTCAAACGTTTAAAAAATTATAATGAAAGTTTTATTTCTATTGCGAGGACCAATCACCACACAGGAACATTTATATGCATAATATAACGATTCAAGCTCTTTTTTCAGAATATAAAAACAACTGGATTTGTCAACTGGAATGTTGTGGCAGAACCACCAAGTTGCCTACCAGAAGCAGCGCAGTTCAATTCGTCGCTTGAATCTCCGCACTGATTGTGTCCGTCACAGATTCCAAGTTTGGGGACACACTGATTGTTGGCACACCTGTAGAAGTTTCCTCCACATCCGCCTGGTAGAATAATTGCATTAAATCATTACGAATTAACTCATATAGTAATTACAGTTTTAAGGCTTTGATGGCATAGAAAGTACATGGCTATAGTGGCACTACCTTAACTTTACAACTGAAAATCGTGTTTCGTAACATGTTTTTCGTTCATTCACCCACAGATAATTTTCAGCAACAATCAACTCATGTCATCATGAATGCAATTTATTAAATTGAGGTTAACCCGTAAATGTAGGAAATACTTAGATTGGATTGACTATATAATATGCATCATGACAAGTTTACTGCGTATCAATTCAAATTATGACGTAATCAGAAATGTCTATGGTATTTTGTAGTTGAATCTTACTGGAAGCCTGAACAAAGTCGTAGGTGAAGTTGAAGCCTCTTGCTTGACGGTGGCTGTTGGTCTCGAAGAATATGGACAGGTATCGATGTGACGATATCAACTCCACACTTGCATTTCCACAAAACTTTCCAATTATTGGCGAGCGTGAGCTCTTCCCATCATTCACTACCACGTAGTCATTGTCGCATCTAAGGGAGAAAGGTTATACATATGGAGGCCATATATGGAGGTCATTACCTGGATACAAGACACGTACATCTTTTCATGACTTAGCAAGAGGAAGATACAAAAACCTTTGCTCAATATAAATTATTCATTTGTAACTGTTAATGAGTACTGATATTACATTGTACCATAACAAGTATTCAATATTTCAACAATAAAGTAACAGCTTTGACAGCAGGTGATTTGGTATCCCCATCTACCAATCTCTACCTGCTAAAAAAATACAAAAATAAAACCGAAATGCTATAACAGTAGTGTGTATGCAAGTGCATGTATTCTATTATATAGCTAATCGTTATTTTGCATGCAAGCAGAGTTCGTTTACAGTACATGTCACAAGTGTTTTATTGTAGCTAACAGAAAAGATAAGGGAAACATACTCATTGTCCTCTTCTAAATCAAACCACAAAGCCCGGAGCCGAATAATTCTTCCGTGTGTGGCATGGATCCTCCAATGACATTGGATGTCATTCTCGTACACTGCCGCACTAAGGTTGGACGAAAAATGACCGTGGTTATGTGTCAGCTGAGCAGGGCCACCACAGCCGGAGTGCCCAGAATCTAACAGAAAATAGAACGGAAAATAAGTTTTAAACAAATCAGCGTCACCACATGAGGACAAAAACGAAATTCGTCGGAAAAGACAACAACTATCGAGGAGGTAAAAAAAGATGAGAACCTTGATACGTACCTGGTTCTACAGCAGAATAAGTATTTAACCAAGGGTTTCATTTGTTTCTGTTTGGGTCCTATTAACAACTAATGTCATTTAAGGACGTGACAAGTTTTGATGGTAGAGGAAAACTTGTTTACCCCGAGGAAAACTACCGGCCAGTACCTGACGACTGCCCAATGTAGGTCTCGAACCCGCGACCCGCACCAATGAAAACAAAAATCTCACAACTTGAGGTTGGTCCTTCCTAGATGATTCATATGTGAAACACCATTTTTGTATTCTTTAAATCATTCAAAAAATGTCCAAGGAGCAAGAAAAATCAACAAGACGCCGGCTTACCGAAATAGTTTCACACTCACACTAGGGTAAGTGGGCAATTAGCCTATAACGTTTTAGAAGAAATAGTCAAGACAAATACATTTCTTTGTCAATTTGTTATCTTAAAATCGTGTTAAGGATAGAAAGGACATACACAATTAATATTTTACTCATATTTAATTTAGATGCTTTGTTAAGTATAAAATATAATTTATGTAAATTGAAGATAATAACATGTGCTTTAAATCATTATATAATATGAGTGAAAAAATCCACTATAAGTACATTAATGAACAAACAAAAAATAAAAAAAAATACACAGGATAAAATTTATGTTTATGTTCAACTTTATACCGGCATCACTATATTGCTATGGTTCACTATTTGTATCACTATTTTAATATGATTCAATGTGCATTTGTATCACTACATTCAACATTCCTATTATTTTCCTCGATATTTCATAACAGCGGCCTCGGCTTTTAATGAATGGTACGGTTTTAATCATTTCAGATAAGAGGCACTTCAAATCAGCAGTGGACACTGTCGTCATATGTCTTTAGCTACGATACGGTTTTCTATGTTTATGGGAGATTGAAGGGACCATTGATGCTTTGCAATAATTGTTCTACATTACACACATACCCTGTATTGTCAGCTTGACATACATACTGAAACGTCTTGCTAGGGCATCTTACTATGAACACTTTTAAATCGCTTCGATTAAACGGATATGTTTTCTTCTCCGTTAATATATATATATTTAAGCATTGTATTCCGTATTTTCGTATTGCAGAGTTATCTGCTCTTGTGAGAAAGGTATTGATTGGTACTGTGAATCATGAAAAAAGTTTTGACGTACTATATTTTGCAAGACAATGACAAATGTTCTAGATAAGATAAACTACTTATACTCTATATATAAATCCCTGATAATATGATGATATAACCGTCCTTGTAATTCCTTTGCATACTATTTAGTGCAATATAAATGTGTCTGTTTAGGAAGTTTTCAGTTTGCGCAACACTAAAAAATAAACGAATATACCCCTCCACTCTGTTTGAAAAGTCAAGTTCCCTAAAAATCATCAATCTATAGTGAAACTTTTGTGTCAATATTTTTTTAATATTTATGATTATATAAAATAATAACAGAATTCAATCTCTTTTAACATACATGAAAAGTATTTTCAACCAGTGATACTACAATAGGATGTTTATGCATTTAATGCAATTTGTTCCCCATTGTATGTAACATCATACAACTCGTCCCGATTTTGTTGTATTTTTGTTGTTATCAAACATCATTATCATTATTATTCCAGCTGATCTAACGCTAGACATAATAAACGTTATCGACTTCATAATCTCATAAGATGAAGAAAAAACCATTAAGATAAATATTTATGAAATGATAACCAAATAAGTTTCAAGTTCGAAAAGTTGTGAACATTGTAACGGGCTTATCGCACAGGGCAAATTGTTCAAGGGCGAGCTAGGGATAATGTGTATGTCGGACACATGCGTTAGCACGCAGTCGTTACATTTACTCAATAGTTTTACCTACCCTTGACACACTGAGATAAGGTAAAGTTACGTGATACCGTCAGCATGAAATACTATATCGAGTTTCCAAAAAATGTCTGTTCACATTAAGAAATAAATAGACGTTTCTTCATTTTTGTCAACCCTTTTTGGCATCTAAAGAACAAGTTAATTAAGTTTTAGAGTATATTTACATTTTCGCTTTTTTAAACTAATTATTATGAAAAACAAACTAGCAATACTGCTTTCATTATTGAACAAAAAAAATAAGCATTTCCCCTTTTTGAAAGATACGTTAGAATAATGTGAATGCATTAAATCGATATATGGATTCGAAAACATCAAATCATTAACAATACAAATTATCATAAATCACTAGCTTAACTTCAAAAGCTAGATCAGTTGTCTAGTAAACGGGTCGCGTTTATTTAAACACATCTTTAGATATTTTCGTCTAAGGTCTTGGTATTGCACAAACTTTCCTGTTTACGACAAAAAGTCATATGTTTTGCAGAAATCTCTTACCTTTCAAGCATATCTGATTTTTCATCCGATATATTTAATGAGAAAGTGATGGTTTTCCTTCTGCTTTGGTGTAAGTTCCTGTTTTTTATATTTTATTTTATCAAATTTGAATTTCATATCTGTATATTTACAAAATGGTAAATTTTCATCGTCTTACTTAACACTCATATGCCCAAATGTAACATATACATGGCAGGAATTTTTCTTTGCTACTAGACCTCCTATTTGTTTTATTATTTCGGATTAAAATGAGATCGCAAACATGCCAATATAATGCTCTATGTTTAAAAAGGGTTTCCTTGTTGAAAATTTTAAAATTGGATAAATGTGAAAATGACACCTCCAAAATTATATATGTCTAAAATTTGTAAATGAATGTATCTTTCTATTAAATGTATTACATAGCACATGCCATTTAAGTAGGCAATAGACGAGGAGGGGGTACGTTTCTCTTGTAGACAAAATATACCGAGAAAATACCAAAATACCATGCGAAATAAGAGATATTATATAATAAACTCATTTTAAAAAGGCTGAATATATCTGTGTGAAGTACGAGAAATATCGAGGAATTTGAAAACCGGTATAATACTTTGACATCTGAGATTGCCTACTTGAAGAAAAACCTATTTAAATGTTGAAACCTCATTTGAATGAGGTTTCAAATAAGAAATTGGATTTTGGTTTCAAAATTTGGTACCGTTGATGGACTTTCTTTCCAATAGTTTATTTCCACAATAGCTTTTCGTGTTAATACATGTGTTACGTTTGAAACCCTACCTTTATCAAATCTGGTTCATTGTACAATTCAAGGGATCACATGTTATTTCAAAGGACCACAGTTTTCTTGGTGTCACAATAACATATAATATCCATTACTTCATTGAAAGTACATGTATATAATTTTGTTTAGCAGCTCACCCCCACCACCACCACATTTAGTATAGTCTGGATAGTGTTTCCTGGGGCACATTTGACACCCGTCAAAAGATGAAAAATGTTACCTCCGTAGGTGCCCGACACTAGGAGACCTATACCGATGAGTAGAATAGCACCAGTCATGTTAGCAATCCTGGAAGAATGCCGGGTTATATCTTAAATTGGGCCAAACGAGATTAGACATATAAACCACGATGATGTTGCACACGGCGTTGGTTGGTTTTACATACCGTGTGCACAAAATGGCATTTATTATATCAAGGTCAATACTGATATGTGACGTATGAAATACACGAAAGTTGTTGTTAATTGTATACACATGGTTTCGTCCGTATATTTCACACGAGCAGCCTTTCTCTACCGAAATATTCGATTCCACACTTTATTGTTTATTTACGTATAGCAGTCATATAGAAATAAATATGCATGTGCGACCAATTGAATGTTGCCGTTTCTTCGATGTTACAAATAGCATTCCACATATTGGCGCTGAAAACCAACCAGACTTCTGCCAACGTCGACAATTGATAAATGCAAACACATATAGAAGGTGTATATAGTGTTGTATGTAAATGGTTAAAACATAAGAACACCTTAAAATAAGCCGTTCCTATTTTTTAAATTGTTGACACATTTGTGTCTGTAATCTCTTATGAAATTTTCCGTTAGGAAAAAACCAGTCTCAAGCTATTTTACTTCATGTGGATGTCAAATGACAATTTTATTATTTGGAAGGGGGCGGACTTGGTTTCAATAAGGGACAACGACGACGTAATAGTGAATATAATTAATCTCCATCTGTTTGCATATTAAACTACTATTACAGTACCGTAAAAGTTTTAAGTTTTAAGTTTGTTAAGAAAACGTTTCGTATCAAGTACTTATTTGCAGTAAGCAGAACAGCACAGAAACGAGAGGTCTTCGATTTTTCGAAATAAATAAAATTAATCCATTGAGTGAAATCAATCCGATATATAGATTACCAGATTTAAACAAACGGCATTTGATAGGCCACATCAACAGGTTTTCAATAAGATTCATATCAATAGCAACTGTTAATATACTTGTTATCACCCAAAGCATGATTGTATTATGCGACAAATGTGGAAATCCTTGCAGAATAAGGATTTGCTTGGTGCCTTCAACCTAGGGACATTTTTCTTTCTCCATCCTTCCTCGCGTTTTTGTTTTATAACGCATTATTTGGCAATATCTCGCTGCGGGCCTTTGTAGCTTAGTTTTCTCTGTTTCAACTTCAAATGAGCGTGTCGATAGGGAGTGGTTAGCTCATTGTCAGAATAATGTTAACAGAAGAAGTCTCTTGATACCTTTTCCTTGTTCAGGGAGGTCATCGAGTTGTGCCATCATATGTGGCGTGCTTGTAAAATTAAAATTAGCTTTGAGCTTTAAATTTTGGGACATGAAAGCGACCAAAATGTATTTGCTGCATCCGTTAAACATTTTAGCTACATTTATAATCTCTCATTTCTTGTTATTTCTAACGCCTTACTTGTAAATACCTCGCTGTTGGACAAGGTATTAAGCGTTAAACTAAGCAAGGAAAGTTTTGATGATGTTTCAGTTAAATGGCACTGTAAGTGGCCTCTGAGTTCCCTCGTCATGCGTGGACAACGTCTTCATATGACCTTTGCCAAACACTATTTGGCCGAAATCATAAGAAATAGGAAATTACATGTATTAGATAGTACGCCGTCTACAGCGTGACTACGGCTAGTTTCGGTGACACAATTTGCTGGTTTGATGTTTTCTATAACGAAATGCTCCCAGTCACTGACGAGAAAAATTGATAAACGATTACTGTCTGAAGCTGTGTTCATGTTCCCAACCGACGCAAGCAGGGCTATCATAACACCTATAAAAAAAATAAGTGCCGAGGGCACTTAGTAATACTGTGTATGAAGGATTCAAATAATGGAATAAAGGAGGTGGTATATCAGTACAGAATGGCAGTAAATAATAAAGAACATGTTGTTGAGTAAGGGTCATAATAGCCCATCCCTTTATCATAATTTTCAATAAAAATATATATAACAAGCAGAGTATTGCTAAAACAATTGAACCTTGTCTATTATTATGGTCCTTAATTTGTGTTTCAAATCGATGGAAATCCTTCAAGGAATGAAGCTGCTTCAGCGCAGACCATGATCTTTTGAAAAATAGTAACAGTGACCTTGACCAGACAACACTGCAAACCAAAATTGTCCCGTAAGATTATGGGAAAGTTAATTTACGATTAAATAAAAATAAATAAAAATCTATGTTTTATAGATAATATAAATAAATAATTATGATATTATTATTACAATTTGTTATTATCATGATTAATTAGACAAAAACAATAAAACGAGATTGTATTATTTCCAGTGCGTGTAATCACGGACTTTGCAAGTCCCTTGTGTATATCTCCTTCTCTCGATATTGTAACGAAGGTTAAAGACCTATATAATTATTCAGTTTCTGGTTAATGTGAATAATATGTATATACGGTTTTAATTTTTGATGTTCAATATGCTATATTCACGAAGCACTTGTATTATACTAATCGGGCCATTATCTAGAGACTGTATTGGGAAGCTATCTACAAACTCGTTAGACACAGCTGCTGTCGCATAGGGAAGCTATCTATAAACTCGTTAGGCACAGCTGTTGACGGCTACTTTAGTATCAGTCAACATTTTCTTTCACATGGAGACTTTCCATTGAAACAAAGAAAACACGAAGCCTACTTTATCAAGGACAGTTATCAAACAGTCGTTCAAGAAGTCGCGAGCATGAAACTACGCAATGATGGACAAGGGGAGAAAATTCTTACTCACACACTTTAGAGTATTGGAATACGAGGCGTAGTAATTTGAACCAAATATAATTCTGAACTTTCATTGATTAAAAATGCCACTGTTAAAGATCTTTACATATTTTCTTTGATTGATTTGTCTTGTACAGATATATTGTACCATATTATAGCATTGATCATATCATGAAATAATGAACACATTATCTATAGATCTTTCGCGGAAGGAGATAAAGTGTTGGTTGGGTTTTTTTGTGAAGAAATTATTCGGTCCAAGAAGCGTAGTAATCTGAGATTGATATAGTTCATGATGCTCACTGAAAAAACTCGCCTTTTCGTAAAATTTTAACATTTTTCTTTGATTTATTGATCGTTTCATATGTATTTCATCATTTTATAGCATTAATCATACCATGAAATAATCAACACAGCATTTAAAGATCTTCCGCGGAAGAAGAGAGTGTGTTGTTTGGTTTTGATTTGCCCAGGCTTGGCGAGGACCGCTATGAATGCTGTACACAGCATCCAATTACATTAAGTTTGCAATAGACCAAACTCAAAAGACTACATCCCTTCTAAAGTCAACAGCTGGTGAAGTTATACTGCATCAAATATACAGATGTAATGATATACGGAATTCTATTTTGAAAAAAGAGTCATCAGCGAAATTGCCTTTGATAATGTTAACATATGATTAAATAAATAATAGCCCTAAACAAAATCTTTAAATAATATAATTGCATAAATGCTGTTAGTGCAGTGATTTGCCCACATAATTCGATGGTATTGTGCACTTTGTGAAGAAAGCACCATTTTTTGTGTACATATAGATTATTGTATTGTGGATTTTTTCAGATATGGAGCCATCGCGAATTTTACCTCATAGCCGCCATTTTCCAAGATGGCCGCCAAGATGGCCTCCAAAAATGCATACTTTTATAAATACCCCATATATGTCAAAAATACACATACAAACTTAGAGTAAACAACTGCATATATTTTTCAGAACCCACACAATTGATTTATAATAGTTTTGGTCTTCTCATATGCTTCAAATTCAAGATGGCGACTTTAAATGGCCGCCAAAATGCTATTTTTGCGATAAATTTGCAACTATTTTAGTTCTAATTGTCATACAAAAAAATCACGCAATTATACATAATTCGATACCTGGATGGCATTCATGTTATAAAGATAAGTAACACTGTGTTTCAATGTAGCATGTGTTCAGTATGACGTCACCAAGATGGCCGCCATTATAAATGTACAAGAAAATGAAATAATCACAAGAGTTGTATTACTCAACCAAATTAGACCAGTAAGGTATCAAAATGACCGTTTTATAATCAGGAACACATGTTAATAGTAATATATTTAATCTGAAGCAGCAGATGAGAGACAACATCATTTGTATTTAATTTTGGTGTCAAAATGCTAGCTTTTCACCAATATTAACCAATATATTAACTATTGTTAATTGGGCAAAATGACATTATTACTACAGTTTTTAAGTATATCAAATATCTATTTCAATACTGATACTAGACTCATTCTTTGTTACTAATTGGCCATAAATAAAAAATAAATATACATCTAATATGTCAATTTCATATATGTTTCAGGTAGTAAACAGCGAAACAGCGATTCGTGATTTGAGAAGGTCCTGAATTCACCCTCGTCATATAAACAATGTCACAGAAATTCAAAGTAGCCGATACTACTGCAGCTTCCACAGCAGTGGCAGACTTAATCAATTGGGAACAGTGTGTTATTTGTCAAGACAGAAAAAATGAAGTTTTGCAATGTCCCGCCAATTTATTGAGAGCAGATGTTGGCAGCGGTTACAAGTCCTTGGCTGAAAATCTTGTAAAGTTTAGAGATCTCGGACAGCTGCCCAAAACCATTTCGTTGAGCGCACTGGATGATGGACAGGGAATTGCATCGACGATGCTTGATCACAAGGCCAAGTGGCACAAATCATGTGCCTTGCGCTACAATAATACAAAGTTGAAAAGAGCTTCCACTAAAAGAAAGACACCAGATGATGATTCTGGCAGCAGTAGTGTGATGGAAGGAGCCGCAAGAGTTAGAAGACGCTCATCATCGTGTGAATCTACTGAAGCCGTCTGTATTTTCTGCGGACAATCAAAGAATGATGGACTGCTACACCAAGTATTAACCATGGAAATGGATAGCCATGTAAGAGCCAGTGCAATACTAGTAGAGGACAATGAGCTATTGGGCAAGCTATCGTTAGGTGACATGGTTGCACTGGAACACAAGTACCATAAGAACTGTTTGAGTCGCCTGCACAATCGTGCGCGATCAG